GTGACAGAGAGCTCTCACGCCCCTCTCACGCGTCGTCGGTCGGCACGACTAGGCTGGATTTCGAAATGGTTGGAAGAACTAATATGATAGAGTCAAAATGTCGGTCATCCCTTTGCGCCATTGATGTTGAAGTTTGAGTAGTCTAAATTGTACCAAAGCTAGATCAGAACGTACATAACAATCGAATTTCCATTGTGGTGTCAGTCCCCCTACTCAATCACTTCAAAAGATGCGAGACTTTCAGCCTTTTGCACGACTCTAGATACGATGTGTCACTCGGATGAGCCGGGGCCGAGGGTTCTTCGTGTTTGACAATAACAGGCGCAAGCATGGTTAGATCGCATGAAGCCAGACTGCTGTCGTGGATGGTAGTGCCAGGGATCAATGTCTCCGATGGCAGGCTATAGATCGCCGACGGTTCATTCACGCAGATTATCGCATAGTATGCTGTATATTGGTCGACTTCTGCGAACACGCACCACTGCTTTGAACGAGAGACCAGCTGCTGGCGGCATCCACATGCTGCGGAGCTGATCGCAGCCGGTGTTTCGGAGCTCGGCTCAGTCTGCCCACACATGATTGGTGGGGTAGACCTGCCCGTTTCGGAATGAAGGAGCTCCGCGTCAGCGCCACAGTCCCCTGCATGAAGGACGACTTTGTATTCTGGCTCACCTTCACGGGACTGCACTACATTCGCTGGAGGATCTTCCCAGGTGACCAGCAGACCGGTGGCATGAGGGCTGATTTGAATGTTCTGTGGAAACTCCTGCAGCAGGCGTCTGATGTGGCGCATGTACCGGTTTTCTGTGATGCGTGACATTGGAAATGCTGTAGACACGGATGGAATCGAGAGGATCAGCAATTCCTCGACCACTTCTTGCCATGAGGTCGGTGCATTCTGTCCACCGTTGGCCATTGGGAACCCATTGTGGCATGGGGCCCCGGGGTCCACACTGTCCAATTGCCAACATTGATGGGGAATTCTCAGGGTCTGGTCTGCAGCCTGGTAAAAGACATCACGTCTTCCGGCCAAGTCTTCGACATAGAGAACTTGCATCCCGCGGGGGGCGTTCAAGAGTGCCAAGCAGGCCCTGAACGCCCGGTCGATTATCTTTGCAAAGGTCGTGTCGGGCAAGGCGCAGATCGCCGCGTCTTTGCATCGTTGCTGTTGCTCCTCCTCAATCGTTCGGATGGGTGTCGCGGAGCGGAGGAGTTGCCAGAAAGTCGTCGGAAGTGGCGTCGGCTTTTTACCGGTGCATGATCGGATCGCGTTCGCAGTCTAATTCTCGAATTAGCATATAACTCCGCTCAAGTAGGTTCGCACTGACCTGCAAACTGAGGTCCGCACTGTGAAAGAAAAGCTTCTTTCTAGAGACACACAACATATGCTCCCAAATGCGAGCCTGGTCGATGGCTCTACAAGTCTTTCTGCTTGGTCCACATCGCCGAGGTGCGGATACTTCCGGAGGAGGTTGACATAGCTTGGGAGTAGGTCTGTTTCACGCAACGATAACGCATAGTCCTAGATCTGTCGAACGAGGTCCGCCAGGTCAACCTGGCTGATCAGTCCCCGTCGGTCTCGGCTGAACTTCCCACACGCAAAGTTGTAGCCGTACAGGAAAGTCTTGCCGCCCGCAGGGTACATGGCAAGTCGGACCCCATGCAGGAACAGCTGGCCAGAATGTTTTGGATCAAGCAGCAAATCTCCCTGGGGGGTCTGGACCATCGACGTGGCGGAGATGAGTCCATGAATGTTCAGAGTGACCCGTAACCATCGCAGGAACGTCTTGGGTGACACTGGTCGGCTGTGATTGCCCCGGCCAGCGCCAATGACACAGTGACATCGCGTTCTATGCGGGAGCACAAGTTCGCCATATCATCCGCGGCTGTTGACCAGTCGCTGTGAGATGTCTTACGTGCCGCCGTGATCACGCAGCGAAGAGACAGCTGCGGCCCATGCAGCCCGAATTTCCAATTGCAGTGACCTGCGGCGATGCTCATTTGGCACTGTTGTCGTTTCATGACCAACGCAGCCAGTTTGAGGCCATCTCCGTGCGAACCACTCAACCGGGTGTCTCTGTCTCGGGTTGTGTGTCCCATGATGAGAGACTCGATCGGCAGCTGGGCGCATGCATTGGCGAGGGTGACTCGACCGATGTTTTTCTCGTTTTTGATAAACCCTCGAGCGAGGAGGTCCGCGCGATCGTTGGGGGCCGATGAAGCTATGATGGCGAAGTGGCCGTTGTCGTCATGAAAGGACAGCTTCAAGTCGCGGTGGTCGAGCTGGAATGTTTCCAGAATGGCATCTCTCCTACTCGGTGTCAGCAAAGTTCTCAGCGGGTGGCTCAATACGCACCAATTTTGGTATAGCTCGCGAAAGGCATCGGTCGTATCCCAGTCCTTCACGTATGCAGGCGAGATTCCGAAAATCACGGTCTGCTGAGTTGGTTGACCTACGATACCAACGCAGGGAGTGTCCAAAACTTGTCGCAGCTCACCGTGCAGTTGTTTGTCTGCTTCATCGTTGACAGAGCTCTTCGAGTCCATGTCAAAGGAGTCTGATGTCAAATGAAATGACTGAACTGGAGTTCTTTCTAGTGGGTAGCCGACAATTTAGATGACCTTGCGACGATTCTTCTTGTGGCATCTCTGGTGAAGAAAGTGGTGAGTTGAGAAGTGAAGCCATAGTGTTTAGTATTGCGAAGCATGAATGGTGACACACTCCTCGCGGTTTAACATATTACCAGGGTAACCACTGCTGTTGAAACTCGTTCACTTGATTGATGTGTACTTAATTGATAGAACCTGATTGATAGAACCTGATTGATGGAACTCGATCGATGAAACTCGATTTTGGATACACAATGCCCGCAACCCTGTATCTACTTGCTCAGCATGTAACCTTGTAAATCCGTCACATCAACACATCCATGGAGTTCGCGCAAATCGACAGGACCGGTCATCCTTTGTCGCATAAGACACATGCAGAAGTGGAAACGTGCATTTAGGATTGCTATGTGTGCCCCGAGGCCGCATAGCTACAAGATCCATCATCCAAGTGGCGTTATGAACAGTGCAAACGACTAGACGTAATGAGCCAACATGATCACGATCGTGCGATGGGTCTGTGAGTTGACGTCGTGCGGATGTCTCTCATCTCCAACAGCTCGGCAAGTACACAAACTTTCATCCGTGAGGTCCCTCCAAGCCAGAAACGGAGCTTTGCCTCGACGAGCCATGACCCTTGGGTCTCATCATGGATCATCGACAGAAACAAATTACCAAAGGACCTAGAACCGTCGTCCCCTTCCACTTCAAGCCTCGTTGGATCAACAGACGCCGCCATCCAGATATATCCTATGGCGAGATTGAAGCAGGCTGCGTTCACATTGCATGCGGACACAAGGGTATTGAACATGGGGCCAAAGGAAATTGCGGGAAGGCCAATACAGACGTATGCCTTGGCGGCGCTTCGTCCCGCCCGCACCGCTTCGTCCATCAAGTCTGTGCCCTCGATTGATCTGATATCGATCACGACCGAAGCCGACACCCAATATTCGGTGGACCAGCTGTATACAGCCGGTGGAGGAGCAGTACCCACGGGATTCCAGAGTTGGCGCGCCAATTTTCTGATGCTTGAGACATTTTTCGTTCCTGCGATCCCGAGAATAATGAGCTTCCTGTCCTTCTCATTGGGCACGCAGGAGATCCCCAAATTATAATCCAAGGGTTGCAGACTGGTCACTGTGGCAGGTGGAAGGACTGTAGTCTCGCCGAAATCAACAGAAACGAAGCGACAATCCTTGTCTGGGTTGTTGATCATAGTGTGACTGGGTAAGGTCACACATTGCAGCATGGTATTGATACTCTGTCCGCAAAGCTTCAGTTGCTCCCACATCCAGACCAGCTCTTGAGTCTTTGCGCAAATGAAGGGCGACTTGGGAATGAAAGGCGTCTGGCTCGACGCGGAACTGAATTTTCAAGATTTCAGGTCAGCACTGCCATGACTTTGCAAAAGGGAGGGAGAAAGTGCCTTACCCGAGGATCTGTCTCTGGCTGGAACGCGACTGAGACTCACGTGTTGGCATCATGGAAGCGGCGAAAGGAAAATTGGCGTGAAGCATGAAAGAAGATAATCGAATGCTACGCCAATGCCTACTCTTTTGAATGGACCCCCAAGAGACTCATGCCAGCATGTGATCATCAATGTCTCAACATGCAGGGACGTTGTTGAGCGTTGAGATGACTAACATGTTTATATCTGCCTATGAGTGGGGTCGACTAGTGACTCTTGGCCCTTGATTGTCGACTGCGAATGAACTCTCACCACCGCAAAATGTATAAAAAAAGGATCACTTACCATGTCTGTTCATATAGGAGTGAGTCTACGTACTACAGTACTATTCGAGAATAAATGAGGAGCCGGTCGGTGGCGATTGCTCTGGCATGCAACTGTCAACCGTGACCGATGCCACTGAGTGTCACCGCTATGTCTGATGCAACCTATGCAGTATGTTGTGCAGATGCTCATTCGGTACATTATTAGAGAACACTACTGGAGACAGATCCATCAGCATCTAAAGCAAGCCTACGATTACAGTAAATTGCTCGAGGGGTTTATTGTTTTGCTGCCTCAATTTTGCAGCAATTCTGCGAGGATTATTCTACGTTCCTCCATGTCGTAGGTGCTCCAAATCACGAGTGAATGATTCAACTTGTGTACGCGAGCGAAAATGGTGTTAAGGAAGCGTAGAGTCTATATTGTTATTTTTGTTTCTTTATCATCATCAATAATGGTATCCGTCATATCCGATCGTTCGTAAATAGCTCTCATTCATGCATAGTGCGTCAGTTTCTTTTAACATCAGAAGATTTATCTCAAGGGCTTGCACCGGCTCCTCTACTGAGATCCATATTCGCCTCGCATCACCAACCGGCGCTTTCGCGTATAGCAAGCTCCACATGAACCAGTTGCTCTTTTCATACTTTTTGATGGGCTTTTATACATCCAATCTGGATGAAAACTGAGACAGATTCAATTCCAGCGCGGGCAGACATTTTGACGAGGCTGTAGGGAAAGTGACCGAGAGTCGTGTCGACGAAGTGCTTCCAGGGCTCACACTTGCCCCAGTCAACCCTGCACTTGCCCCTCGTAACGCGTCTCTTCGGCCAGCAGAAGATCTCACAGTTTCATCCGGTCTGACAGACACCCATGGAAGGATCTTGTCGGGCAGGCTTGTCTTGCTAGACCTGCGCCAGTCTTGGGGCTCATATGGAGAGAGAGTGGGCTGCGAGCTTGTCAACGACACGAGACGATTGAACACAGATAACTCCAAATTCAGCTTGATGCTGTACACGACAGTCTTGAAGCTCACTTGAATGTAGTGTAGCTTGAACTCCGTAAGAAGCAGCAACATGTTCAACAACACAACGATGATTTTGATCCAAAGCAGATGAATGATGGCATTCCGCCCGTTGCGACCTCGGGTCTGAATCATGGGCTTGAGAGCTTGGGCGGCTTTGTAGATGTAGATGCCGCAGATGATGATTTCCTGCGCGCAGAAGCCGCTGACCTGGATGCGATCGTATATCGCGGCGGGTCGAGCGAAGCGTGCGTCACCTTGGTTTAAGCCAAAGAACAGAACGGTCATCGGAACGTGAAGAATGAAGAAGTTCCCCACGATCATCCACAGCACCCATCGCACTTTTTTAAAGTCGCGTACAACAAGATCCAGACGGGAAAAGAGTATGACCGCCTGACCAGTGACCATGGCGTACCACCCGATAATGAACGGGATAGACTTGGAAAGATTAGACGTTTGAGAAACGAAACGAGCCATGGCAGGCAGTGCATGCACAAGAATGCCCCAAGACGCGACCTGCATGCTCCAGAAATAGAGACCGCTATAGCGCTTGAATGTATCGAACGTGACAATTGCGGATTCGAGGGTGTTGTATGCGCCGATCGCGAACATGGAGACGACCTGGATGATCGAGACATTTTTCATCAGAATTGCCCCGACGTCTGGTGGTAATGTGGTGATGATTGTGTCCATGATAATTAAAGACTTGTCCCAAACGCAAAGTAATTGAAGAATCCGGAGGTGGGCATGGTGAATACACGATTTTTAAAGACTACTGCGTAAACATGTGATCTTCTTGCCATTCGATCATGACGTGGTAGCTGGGGGCTCCTTGGAATGACTCGAGGAGCTGTTCAGATCTTATTGGATCAAGGTATGGATCGATGGTCGCAGACTTATGGCAAACATAGAAGCTGTGACGAACGCTAGGCGAGATTAGCCTCGACCCATTTTCCAGGTCAACCAGACAATGGAACGCTCTCATGAACCTGGAAGTTTGGATGCTGATCAAAAGTTAGAAAGAGAAAGTGAGATTCCCAGCTTCCATAGATATTCGAGTGGGTCTGTGAGCGACTCTTTTGTCAACCCATGGAAACGACCGGTCGGGGAGGGCAGCCTTAGGCGAGGAGAGCGCGATTGTCCTTGTGAGGGCGATCTGAAAGTTGATGTTTGAGAAAAATTCTTAGTAATTGACAATGTTCAGATCATATCTCCTTGACAGAAGAGATGTTCCTGATGATTTGTCCCGTATTAAATTCGCACCGCTTCCACCATTTTTTCCAAAGCAATTTGCCGGTGCTGGAAAGTAACAGTCGCAGGCAAAAGCGGTATCCCATATTAGACATACCTGCGGTATCTAAATAAAGTTTGGATAGGTCAGAAACCTCTGGCCTACGACGTCGATCCTTACGTTTTCAGAAGCTAATCGGCGTCCGATTCGTTTCCTATTTATCCATGTAACTGTTTTATCCTGCCAAGCATGCACGACCCTGAAAGGGCTGTGGCTCTGCACGCACGATACACCCAGGCCAAAAGGATAATCATCAAGTGGAATTAAGGTTTGGGAAAAAGTTTCGATACAGGGAAGATAGCTTCTAGAACTTGCTTCCAGAACTTTCTATCGAATGGATCGACAGAATGTTTGCCCCAGTAACAGTAACGTAGAGAAGATCTTTCTCCCTGTGGAATCCTTCAAAGAGGGGTCGCAAATCATTTCACGGCATCAATTTAGGAGTAACCTTGAAAGCCTTGTACCTTGTGCTCCCGAAGCTTTAGTCACATGAGCCCTCTGGATTAGAAAAGCGGTCTTAGTAGACATTGGTTGTGGAGGCATACTCAATTGCAAATCCGTTTGTCAATCGGGTCGTGAAGTCTTCAATAACAAAAAATGGGTAGTTGGTCAGTTCTCGGACACGGGTCTCCTTGCCAGTGTTCCCTTCTTTCAAGGCCCTAACAATTATATTAAGACGTATTCCCAGGTTAATTTCAAGTACATTGTTGCCCTATGATATTAAAACAACGTTGCAATCTCTTGCATAAGAGAGACCGTGGCAAGTACCACAGCGAATAACAGTCACAACCAAACTCCCTATCGCGTTACTATGGTGACTGGCCGCACTCAGTGTTCCTGAACCATAGAAATATCAAGCTTGACGCTATGTACTTCACCGAGCAAAGTGTTATTCATGAGAATATGGAGTTTAATCCCACCCACGTGTATTTTCTCTGGTATGAGCCAAGCTCAAGTAAGAAAAGGTGTATAGAGCTGCTTCTGGGCGGATGATGATCTGCACTTACAATGCAGCAAGTTATCATGTTCTATATAAACATAGCCTCTCTATTGAGATCTTTTAAGACCTTTCATTCATGTACGCAGCACTTATTTTCGTGCGGGTCCCTATCGGTACATCAATAATGTATCAAGTCTGATTTCATGAGACATATGGATGTGTTGCAATAGAACATCCCACGCTTGAACAATTTGGGTTGCCGGTGTAAACGCACATTGGCAGCTCTGGACTCAGAAAACTGGTACCGAGCTTTCCTGGCACGGACACAAATTATTGTGCTTCGTTACAGATCATCGCTCAACAGACTTTCCTCGTAATAAAAGGCACAAGTTACAACCTTCGTTACAGAAAAACATTCTCCTTTCACTATTCTACCACAACACGCCTCTCGGGATATTTGATACCATGGCAAAGCAATCAAGCTCCGCCCCAAAGAAGTTGTTTATCGGAAGCAGGGCAAGAGTGACGCGTGCGAGGTCCCGCGTCAAATCTCCCAGCCCTGCTTCGTCGGGAGTCTCTGAATCTCGTGCAGACGGCTCTTCTCTGCGTTCAATCACGAAGTCATCCAAAGCTCCAGTATGTTGAATGTGGTCCATGTTCGATTTTTCAATTTTCGAATCTTTTCGAATCACTTTTCACGATGCTCAATACTGCTGATACCAAGCGCTTTCGGCTGACCATACTGTTTAGGGTTATCTCTTGCCAAAGAGTGACTGGAAGAAACAGTCTAAGGCTATCCATGCGAAGTGCTTTGATGAGATGGATAAAATTGGTCGGGAGCTTCAATTGGCCCTTGCGGAGAAAACCGACCAAAAAGCCTACGAGTCTCAGTTGTTGCAGAGAATACAAGCCATCAAGGCTGAAGGGCGTTCGAAATTGCAGCAAGCTATTGCGCTAAAAGAAACCGCTCTGGCTGAGAATGAAAGACTTCAGAACGAAATTCGTCAACTCCAGCAGCAGGTGGAATTGTTGAATGCTTCGACACAGGATAACATCCCGTGGAACGACGTTCAGCCGATTTTGCATCAAACACATGGCGAGCTAGTGTCCGCGACCACGCGATACTGGAACGCGATCGACGCTCTCCAGAACCGCAGACTAGCATCCTATCTACCCGGCTCTGGAGTGATCCACGGAAATTGGACGGAGCAATGTGTCCCGCTAGGATCTTTGGGACACGATTCACTTCCCGGGCTCGCCGAATCGGGCAATCCCTCTTCGAACATCCAGCAAAAGCCTGGTGCAAACAACGTGTTTGATTCCTTTGTGTGAATAGTTTTGGGGGCCTTGTGGGTCCGATCCAGACCAATGAGGCTATGTTTGGATGTCCGAAATTATCACGCACACAACTATCTCCCGGTCGTATCACCTACTTCGGCCTACAGCTTTAGTACAATCAGCCTTACCATGTAGAGGAATACATGTCATTTTTGAATGGGGAATTTTGAATGGGGGTCTTCCAAAAAGTAAAGAAATTAGATGAGTCTTTGAATTAGTTCTGTTCACCGCCAAGCGGGGCCCGTCGCCTGGGCCCGTCCGCCCGGTAGATCATGATCGCCGTTCTCCTAACGCTCTGATTTCCGCTGCTCGGATATTTGATCCAATCACGGTAAGCCTTGGCATGCTAGATGATCTACCACTCAGCCAATTTTAGCAAAGTCAAATCAAAGATTGCCACGGCTCATACTATTTGGAATTATCTGCCCAGAGCCCTGAATGTAACGTCGAAAATCTTCTGGTTCATATTCTCGACAATCATTTACCAGGTCGGCCGCGCAAGATTCCAAATCTTGCTTTTGAGTTTGACATTCGCCGTGTGGGCAATTTTAGAAAGTGGGCCGAATTGCACTGACCCACCGGCACAATAAAGCTTAATCGGCATGTGGTAAATGGTTCGTGCAGGTATCAACCAAACCAGATATGATTTAGACCGGTAGCGGTTTTCAGTACTTACAACCGAGACTACTTCGTTTAGCGATTTTATTTTAATCTACTCTGGTTGGTGATGCAGCTGGATTATGTGGCACTTCGGTGGAAACGAATGGTCACGTGAACCATGTAGTATTACTTTGGTAAACAAAAAGTCAATCGCATCATAGTCCGAAACCTCATTTGCGACAACGTGTTCACCCAGTCAATTGTTCTCTTCCGTAGTGCTCTGGGTTTTCGAATTTATGGCCTTCGTTGCTGCCTCCACGGCTACCAGTCGTTGAGCAATATCGTCCAGATCACTGCAAATGGTTCCAGTCTTATCTGCAAGAGTGCTCAGCGAGCTCTGGATCGACCTAGAATGGTATCAGCGGTGTCGCTTCTTAAAAAGACTTCCAACTTACTTCACTCGGGTGTCTAGTCTGATAGATGTATGGTTAGCAGCGAGGTTTAAATTGTTTTCACGGCAGAGTCAGACACTTACTCGGAGATACACTGGAAGGCGATCATGATACGATTGTCCGAGCTTACAGATTCTCCTGCATCTTGCGAGATGCTGCCAAATAAATCCGTCTCACGCTGGAGACCAGGACAGTCGCTCTCCGCAAGAGATTCGATCTCGGTAGTGTCACCCTCTGCCGATGATGAAGAACCCGGTATACTGTCAGAATCGGAAGGTGACAGCGATAAAGCGCGCTCCAATCGACGCCGAAAGTCTTCGTGTTTGTTGGGCCGGGAAACCTTTCTAATTCCACCCATGCTTGTACTAGATGAGTTTGAGAACGGCTACTTTACCAAAGGCAAAGTCGACTAGCTTTTATAAGGTTTGGCCGGAAGATCTGAGTAAGCGATTGATGTCTGTCGGAACAACCAAAACTCTCTCGGAATTTTGAGCTCCATCTGAATATGTAGAGCCACACAGGTTAGGTAATTTGCAAAGATGAGCCTTTCACGGTTCTCAATGAGGTCAAAGCTGCACGAGGGTAATTATCATTTAGAATGTCAACAGGCAAGATCACCATGTAGAATCTCAACAGATAATTCCAACTGGCAAGCTGAACAGGTAGGATCAACAGGCAGGATCACCATGTAGAATTTCAACAGGTAATTTCAACAGGTAACTTCAACAGGTAACTTCAACAGGTAACTTCAACAAGGAAACTCAACATGCGAGAACATGTGAGGTCAACATGCAAACATTGCTCTGAACACATTGAATTTCGTCCAGGTGATGCAATTTGAGCAATGCTCAACATTGATGGTCATTAATGCTCAGGAGTGACGCCAAATTAGAAAAAAAGAAAAAAAGAAAAAAAACCTCTGACCTCTGGGGATCAGAGATTGGTGAAAGTCTGTGATACGAAGCACCTTCCAGGTCAAATATCCTCGATATGGCTTATCAGACCAATCCATGGAACAGATTCTGGTTTGAAAAAGTTTGACAACTTCGCCAGTGAACGATACTTTTGACTGACTCTAACGAGGATTTAAAAAGTCAGCCAACTCCCTTCAACAATCGTTCACAAGTGTCCTGTTGGCATCAATTTAAAACTCATAATGTCTCCACGAGGCATTTTGAGCTGGTCGGTGCAAGAAGAAGAGAACCTTCTGCAATGGTTAGATGAAAATCGTGCATTGCCATGGAAAGATCTACCGGACGCATACAGACAAAGGTTCGGCGTGGACCGAAGCGTTGAATCCTTACAGTAGTTTTCGAAATCAGTTTGACCTTTTACTCTTTTGACTTGATTCCCGGTAAATAAATCCGAAGGACGCTAATCCTATTTAGGATCACCGCTTCATTAGTTAGGCAGAACTCTGCTGGTAATGAAAATAACTCCTCGAGGACGTATTGTACCCATCCTGTAATGATACATCGAATCCCCTAGAACCCCTCGGTAGATCTGGCGATCTGGCAAGATCGTCCGCCCGCTTCCCGCCTTCCCACCAGCCCTAGGTTGCCACTTTCTTCTCATTCTTCCCGCATGCAGCACAGTCTTTCGTGTATCGCTTATACGCCCGCCAGTCATCACACAGAAGGCTGTGCTTACGCTGTATAGAGCTAATCCTGGTAGGGAAGGATATTTACTTTTTCTCCGTGGATCTTATCATCTACGGCGCGTCTTATTTGTGCATTCGTTGCCACTCGAATATAATATGGCTCATCCCGTAAGCTAACATGGACGTTCCAAGAATCGTGATACTTTAGAATGAGCCAATATCACGTCGATCATGAATCTCAATCTATCGAACATGAAGTGTGGGAACACAACTCGGATTACGTGCCAACCCCTGGGTACTGTGTCAGCCCCTACGTCGCACGGTCTGCCCTGAGCCTATCTCCGTCTAGTGTACTTGAGAATAGTGGCGACCCTAAGAGTAACCGTGGCCTATATCCTCTCCGATTCCTTCCGTTGCATGAGTGGGAAGAGGGAAGGGCCTACGATAAGGACCTCCTAGCCTGTATTCACTATCGTATAGAGTGGCGAGTGACAGTTAATAATCGGGAAGTATCTATAGACACCGAGGAAGATGTCGTCTTGGCTCCTAGTGCTTTCTAGCAGCTGTTATTGGAGAAAAAGCTAGAGAAAGCGCTTCGACGGAAAACCGCTCGCCACCGCCGAGTGAGACCCGATGACACTGTTATCGTCGCATCTACAAGTGATCGCACTAAACGGAAACTGACGAAACGATTTGACGACACTAATATTACTTAGTCCTCTATCGAAAAACAACTTCTAATATGGTCCGATCTTTTATCCAAGGGTAAAGAACTTACGCTGAAGATCAGTTTTAACTATATAGACGATCATTATTCTTCTCAGTCCACCGGCCGGAAAGGAGATAAGAGAGGGAAATCCTCCGTCACGCAAAGGATGCTTAGCGAGCGAGACGCACAGCTTGATGCGGAGGAATATGCTTCAGGCGAAAAGCCGATCTAGCGTAGCGTCTATAATTTAATACGATGCGATTCATCAACATATCAACATAGTCCTTATTGTTAGGTGGACCCAATAGGGAAGAAACACTACCCAATCAAAGCCCATCATATAAAACGCCTTATCACTCACGTTGAGAAGGGAGGGGTTTTAGAGGGCTATAAAGACGTGCCGGAAGCGGTACGCGACGAATTATACAGGGAAGAACAAGAGAGAAACGAAAGACTAGGGAAAGAGAAGCGCAAAGGAGGTCCTGTCATTAGCAGTGGAATGCCATATCCTCCTTGCAATATTATCAATGTCCTTCCCCCTCAGTCTGCTGCCCAAGGGCTAGATGTCCCGACCCCTAAACAGGCGGCTAAACCGATGGCTATAGGTTCATTGGAAATTCCTGGCCCTAGAGACGTAGCCGTAAAGGAGTACGGTAAGTGGCAGATGTCTAATATCGAAAATGACACACTCAAATCGGCGTTTCAGCAAGTATGTGATATGATGCTCGACAACGGCCTCGACCTTGAGCAGGTCTACAAGGACCAGGACCCGAAATTCTTCATTGAGAAAGGGATAAAAATAGGCATCGCTCGACGTTTCGTCGAGGACATCGGAAAGTGGGCTGAGCAAGTCAAGAAGGCGATTCCTATATATGAAATACTTTGAACTGGAGTTATTGCTGGCGTTGCGGAGTTCTCTCGGCATATAATGAATAATTTATCAATTAGACTACGTGGCTATAAATTTTACGACTCAGATTTAGCATAGCATGTTGAAACGCATCTTTTACACTTTTGTTATCGGGGTCCTACCAGGAAGATGCCGTACTCTACTAAAGATACGGTGACATGCCTAGTAGCTGCGGTGGTTCAAGCAAGCAGAAAATTCAATGAAATGCAAACAAGACGAATAACAGAGCTCGAAAGCGTGCCTTGTTCATACAGTACGTCCCGAAACCGGTGCGACCACCTCCAATCTTCGACTGACTCTCCAGCTCCAGTGCCAAGAAACACTAGTCTATATTTGGAGGTTCTCCGGAGTAACCCTGCCGGCTGAACGTGTATTTCTTCTTACATAGATTACATAGTACCTCCAGTTCTGTATTGGTTTGTAAATACAATACACCCGACACCTCATTACCCCGCTTTTAAAGCAACCTAAGGTACAGGTATCTTAACCTTCATACCTCCATATTCTACAAACTCAAATCCTATTAAAGATTTTTTTGCTGAGTTGAAAGCCTTCATTCGCCGCGTTTGGCAGTTTCACGAAGAAATTCTGGACCAAGGATTCGATATCTTCCTCGAATGGTGTTTTGACGTCGTCGGTGCAAAGGAGTAGTGTAGAAGGCCACTTCCGGCACGCAGGCCTGACCATAGAGATGTATGGCAGCTACTCAACCGAGTTTCAAAGTAATCTCACCTGTTGACTTCCAAGAATTTTGTGTGGTGTTCAGCGCACATCTCGCTGTATTTCAGATCTTAACACGATCAAATCTGCTGCGCATAGAAATTATTATGAATATGAATGTTATCGCACCAACAAACATGTTGCACTGGTCTATTACATTACTATAAATTTAGTAGCAGCAGGGACTAGAGAACCACTAGCCCAAGAGGAAAAGGATGGTTGGCACCACTGGAAGTTGGCTTCCTAGCAAAATAAGCTTTAATGGAATGTAGCTTTCTCTTCAATCATAGGTGACAAGCTCAGCTTCAACCTTAGCAAAGCTCCCTTTGCTAAATATTCGAGTTATGGTTGGTCTTCATATTACCAGGTTATGGGACATGGCTGTTAGAGGATGTAGCGCATGATATAAAACTAATGTCGGTGGTCATAACTTGAAAGCCCAGTTGTGACCTAATCATATAACTTGTTCCATAAGAATAGTGCCTTCTCGTCCACAGATATATGGCCCCGGCTTTTCAAGTGGACGATCATGCAGGGCTTCTAGTATCGGAGGAGTTATGCTTCGCCGTCGGCGGACGCGAGCAGGGGGTGCTGTGATATTAACGATGGAATGCTTGGTGGGTTCGGCAGCTGTAGCTATTCGCGAGGTAGTCACTGGTTTACTCGATAAGATACTATTAACCATCCCAAGCGTTGAGAGAGGCAGCTTTGGCACTATAATTCGGAGAGACGATAAGAGAATAAGGACGTTGATCGAGGAAGGCTTTAGCTGAGGAGCAATAGGATACCGCGGGAGTGTGATAAGGGAACAAATCCATCTTCTCACCATTTCCCACCCCTATGCTCAATGGATAAATGAAATCGTTTTAGACATGGGTCTGGGGAATACGGGGTATTAGGAAATGCACGTGACCTAGCGATATCATCATAGTCCCCAGGAGCTTGGTGGTCTTGTCCATCTCGAAAATGCGGACCTCAAATGTGGCGGCTGTGAGGACTCAAGCATTCTGCGCTAGAGTAACAGCCACACTGTGAATTGAATCGATACTATCGGGCTAAAGATAAAAAAGTGCCTAAAGGACCGATCGGTTGGAGTTTTCGATGCTTTAGATACGGTAGGTTTCTTCTATGCTAAGGACTTGTTACATATTTGCTAAGTGATCGGATTGAAGTGTGTTAGTCTTAAAACCCCGGTAAACATGTATTTGGGAAGTCACGTGACTTGGTGTCATTCTCTGAACACGTAATCAGGGTCGAAAAGCATGTACCAATGGTATGGGTCACGTATGTGTACTTGTCTGGTATTCTCTAGTCTCTAACACAGCAGTTTAACATGTGGTACGCTGACTAATAAAGCTGATTACATGATCCATTGTGCCGACAGTCATTATTCCCTGAAGCCAAGCTGTTTTCTGGTCTATCTAAAAGCTGCAGACCTCAAAGTCATTCCGATTATAGGATGTATACACTAGAGCTCATCCATAGCATGAAACAAGCCCACCAATCCAATCTTGATTAAATAGGCTGAGCCTGTTGCTAAGATTGATAGTTAGTCGCTGGTAGACCTCGCCATGACCCTCAAACGGGTCCAAGGTCAAGACCCTCCACCCGACCCTTACCCGCAGAGGGTTACTTATGGCTCACCCGCACTCACCCTCACCCACCCGTTTCTGCATAACTTTTCTTAACATTTCCTAATTAGGATAGATAAAATTGATGAGTCATATACATAAATTACAATTACATACAAAAAAAAGTGCATAAGATATTGTTTGACTTGTTTGCTCACCCGCGGGTAACCCGAGGGTGACCCTTTACGGGTGAGTATAATACTAGAACCGACCCGCGGGTAGGAGGTCAGGACCCGTCACCCGCAAATTGGAGGGTCGCGGGTCACCCGTTGCGGGTCACCCACGGGTCATGGCGAGGTCTAGTCGCTGGATCAGATAAAAGCCTATGTTAGGCTATATTTGGGCTTGGGTCGTGTCGATCCTAGAAAGGCGCTAGCCCTATATACTCAACGACTTAATGGAAATCATAATTTGATAAACATAGCCGCGCATAAGATCAAGTCGTGCTATAAAAGTCAAACAACTCTAACATCTTAGTAAAGCATAATTTATACAGTCTGAACAGGATCTTAGAGAGCGATCCTCGGTTTGAAGATGCACATAGCACATGCACTGCTTATGATGATATTCAAGACACTAGTTTAGCTCATTAAGCCTCACTAAGCCCATAGACTTCCCGGTATTTCACATGAAATCACTGGAATCGCACCGACTAAATAATGCTTGATGACCCAGGGTAATTGTTAAGGAGTAACAAACTACGTGCGCTACTATATATATTGGTCCTAGGCATATCAACCTCGAGGGTTGATATAGTGGTCTTTTTGGCTAAGCGGTACGATCATGTGACCTAGGAATGATCCGTAACAGTAATAGCTAGATGCTCTAATCATTACATCAATTTGTCACATTCTTTTTCTAAATTTTTAGCATGTGATGAATAGTAGATAGAAATGGTAGATAATAAACCTGCTTTAATAATATACAACACTACCGAAAAAGTCTGTGGAATTTTTGAAATTGACCCCGCCCCCATCAAATATATATATCTGCGTTCTACTACGCTATACCACCACCCTTTGCTTAATATATATATAATTACATATGCTTATTAATATGCTAATTCCGCACACAAATTTCGCTTAATATTTTGTGTAATATCCCTTCGCTTCTCGTACCGCTTGCAAACGTCTTGGCATGCTTAATATAAGACTATCAATTACACCTTGATCCAATTGCCTCCACGCGTCTACCATGCACTCCCTAAAGTGCTTCCAATCAGCCTTAGATTTTCCCATGAAGACAAGGTATGGATATAACTGGTATAATTTGACCTTAAGCATCCGCCATACCGGTTCAATTGGGTTTAAATCAGGCGAGTGCGGGGGCCACTCTTCAACCCAAATCCCATGGTCTTCAAACCATTCTCGCGCCCCCAAAGAGGTATGAATTCTTGCGTTATCTTGCTGAAATATTGTCCCTGGTTCATAGTGAGGAAGAAACCCTTCTTCGAGCGCGTCAAGATAGGAATTGGTGGTGTAACCTCTTCCTGTCTTCGAATCAGGGTCCCTCTCCATTATCACCAACTCCGTTCGGCCACCAAGCCAGATTCCTGCCCAGACCATCTGGGCTATGTCCTTCACATGTACCTTAGGGTCGATGAAATCCCTCCGATAAGTCTCAGATTCGAATCGGAAGACCCAATGGGTGCCAGAATTCGAGGTTCGTTGCACCGAGCACTCGTCCGAAAACACCCATCTTTCCCAACCCGATATTCTATTCTCCGACTGCCATTTCCGGGCAAATTTTTTGCGTTTTATGGCTAGAGAAGGCCCGATCGGGATTTTCTTCTTCTACTTGCACTTCCGGATCCCCCATTTTAAATAAATACGTCGAAGTGTGTCACGGTGTGGATTTCCGGGTGTAGACGCAGCAAGCTGTCTATAGCTATCGTCCGGATTCCGACGGGCAAGCAACCTTATGAATTGGCGAGCTTGATCATTAAACTTCCGGGGGCGACCGCTTCGTTTCCGTGATTCAGTGGTGCCTAGCTCGTTAAAGCGTTTAATAGTGTTAGTGATTGTTGTTGGAACACACCCAAAATCAGACGCTATCTTTGAAAGCTTGGTTTTTAATACTAGCCTTGCGTAAAGAATGGCAGCTCTGGCAGAATTAGATAATTCTGCCCCCTTACGACGTTTTCCAACAATTTTGGAGCCCCTAGGAACCATGGTTGAAGAAAGAGAGAAAAATAAAAATAGTGGTAGTTGGGGGTAACCCGGAAGTGGGTCCGAAAATTCCACAGACTTTTGCCGGGGATTGTAGCTATCGATTGCTTCTATAGAAAAAGCAAAAAAGAAAACATGTGAATCAAGGGAGGTGAAGAGGAATGTGCACAATGCATGTTGAATATGTAGATCCTTGATCATCTCCCTTCCAGGAATTGCGGTGAGAGCAAATTCATGTCATTATAAATAGCCATCATGGACGGTCCGGAAATATAGGAACAGGATCACTTCAATCATTTTGTTAGACTGCCAATTCAAACACATCAGGGTATCAATACTAATACAGGAATATTGATATTCCGGGGCTATTCCCATTAGAGACAGGTGGGTCTTGGCATTGGGGCCAAAGAAATAGTGGAAGAGTGGAGGTGGTCGCACCAGTTTCGGGATGTACTGTAGCTGAGCCAGTTGCTCATTGAGCATTCTCTTGCATGGGAAGATTTGCTTAGTCTCTACTCTTTCCGTCGCGCGATCGTCGAGCTATAGTCCTTCATATACAGTATTTGAAACAGATCCTTAGCACAGAATATTATGTCATCGTAGAAATGAATTGAGACTGAAACACCACTGCAATGTCTAAAGCACCAAAGCGGCCTTAAATAGCTCAGAACGAGCGTGGTCACATAAACTTCACGACTTTCAGGAGAGGTTTCAAAAAAAAGAAAAAAAGCAGACTGAGGGTGAATGGTGACGTAGGCAGGCGGTTTCCGGCTTTTAGATGTCGCAATAAATGCAGTGGTTTTCAAACAGCAACCTTAGGTGGGAAATTTTGCAGAGCCTTCTGGGAAGCCTCCCGTTCGTCCAATCGTTTCCAGTATGCCAAAAAATTTTCTCGTCCAGGCAATAGCATCCAATCACACACTTGCATTGCCATCATCTTCATCAACCCATAGAAATGAGTATCTGCCGCGGAAAATCTGTCTCCACACAACCATGTTTTTCCGTCTAATTGATCATCAAGCATGTTCAAGGCCTGATTGATCAACACTTTCTGGTTGACCCTAGCCTCTGGGGTCGGAAGTCGGTTGCCTTTGTAGAAATCGACCGTGGCAGGATCGTTCCTGAACCAACTGATAACGGGTTGACAAATTTCTAGATCCATTCTTCGGAGCCACATGCGAGTCTCAGCACGCTGTTCAGGTGTGCTGCCAAACAGGGAAGTGCCTCCAAGGGCGATCTCATCTAAGTACTCGCAAATAGCGGTGATCTCTGTGAGAACAGTGCCATTGTCAAGCCGGAGAGCCGGAACCTCCCCGCGAGGGTTGATTGCGCGAAATGCAAGGCGTCGATTCTGAAGGCTCATGATATCCACAGTTTCGACATCAAAGTTGAGGCCGCCACGTTCAAGAACGAACAAACGGACGGCCATAGGGTTGGGTGCGGCGGCATCAAAAAATTTCATTGTTGCGATTTCACAAAAAGTATTCCGTCTTTCTCGGGGTATCAGAACTTCGGGGTATCTACAGAGGTTTTTATACTCCTGCTCGTGAAAATTCGCATTAAAGCGGCTGATTTCACGGAGATAGGAATTTTTCAAGTGGAGCTGATAGAGATCGTTTGTTGACGGATGCGGCGTTAACAACGGAGTTAGCATTGATTTAACTCCGAAAGAACAATCAAAACGGCGGGCAAAAAGGCGAAATAGATCATGCTCTCCCCTACTACGCGGAGTTCCCGTTACTTGCCGTGGACCTAGATATTCAAGTTAAAGTGAGGCATAGTGGGAAATTGTTCTTTGCTGGTACCTTATCGAATTTCAAATGCCGCCCTCCTGCAAGATTCAGAGGATTAACGAAGTATCAAGGACTTCCGAAGTGCTGCGTAGAAGACATCAGTAATGAGAATAGAACCCGATCAAGCAAAAAGTTGGCCTTGATTTTAAGGATCTGATTAGCGAAGGGAGAGGCATGGTGGTACGGAGTACGGTGTGCAAGGTTGAAAAACCTTTGACCTTGGGAGGCGGGAATTGGCGAGTACATAGTAAATGGACTTAAGGAAGAGCTCGGAGTTAAGGGCCAAGCAACTTTAAACACCGCTCGAGGGCCCACTAATTTATTCCTCAACAGTCGCGGCCTTTCCAAATAATTGCTCTACCAGTTTCGATAGAAAGTCCAAGAAAGTAGACGAGAATTACAGCGACAAAAGTGCCTCTAGAAGCCTTCATTCGACTCGTGTTGAATATTTGCAGTTATTTGGTAGGAATCAGATCTGGTGCACCATTATGGGTTCTATGAATAAGCTCGCTTGGTCTGCAAAATCAGCAGCTTCTTATGCTCAACTATTCAAAGACTTTGGATCCATATCTGACATCTTCGGAGAGTCCCGCGTGGGAAAGTTCTAGTGCCCAGGCTCACTTCATATATAAGAACCATCATCTTGTTCGATAAATAAACAAGTTGTTGTCTCTTCATTAGGCGTCGAACATTTTGCTTGGGTCTCCATGAATTTCATTACCCCAGTTCGCTTATTCCTTACTGTTTCTTTCGGTGGCAGCGTTTTTTACCTGCAAACTCTCGCTTATCCATGCCGTGACATGAAGTTTACGTGGCAGGCGACTCCTGGCCATTCCAAATCTTTTTCTTCACGGGTCTTGAATCCCAAAGATGGCCCTATAGATGAAGAAAGTTACAGTCTCCGTATCCCGACACGTGATCTCACAAGCGGAGTTACCGATGAAGAGCTTCTCGCCAGATTCTCTAAAGGAGTTTTTGGGGGTTGGATCTTCACCCCCGAGAGGTGGATTGCTCCTTTTGCGCAATGCTTCATCGACACAGAAGGTAAGCAATGCCTCTTCTTGAAGTGGTTATTTACTGCTCCTCGTCAAGATTGCCGAAACTGAATTTCTGGAAAGTAGTTACTGCTTCACAAGGCTCTACGCCAGGCCCATCAGCTTATTATATTTGGGACTTAGACTCGCTCTCCCGAAATAGTCTGCCCCCATTGGGAAGTACTCTCTTTGGCCTCCTCACCTTATTCGATGTCAGCACTTGCACTGAGACACATCGTAAATCCGTCTTTCCAGAGTCGGCCACGGTTCCCCGACCAAACTTCGCCTTTGCGGAATACGCAGGACGTACTAAATCATGGAGTCTTGCTGCCTCACACCGATTTGAGGTCACTCGGGAGCACGAAGGCGATGAGGATAGTGTTAAAATAACATTTTCTCATGTTAGAAGTAATCCTAGAACGGGAGGTAGAGCTCTACCGAGCTGGTTTGTTTGGTTTCATGTACTGTATTCGAAGCTACTTTTTGCGGACGGTATCAGAGAGGTTCTGCAAGATTAGAAACTATGTAAAATAGCATACACATATCTCATTGTGTTTCGAATATTTCAAACCACCCCCCCTCCCCCCGGCTCTGCTTCCCTTAATATACCCCATGAATAAATTAATGATTATCTTGCAGAAGTGGGAAAATCTGCTTAAAAGGACAGTTATGTGTCATCGATATTAACAAGACGGGAGCATAAAAGTGGGCGTTGAATTTGTGGGAGACGTTCAGAGCTAATAATTGATGGACACGAAAGGAAAGATTGCTTGGAACAGGGCTAGAAGAGGTTTCAAGAGTCAAAAACTTCTACATTCAGGCCCGCATGTCGAAAATGGCCTCTGGCACTCTCCTCTTTCGCACCAACCACATTGATACACCATTCAAGAAAAGTATCAAATCCTCGCTCTAGGTCTTTCTCGTAGTAGTCCTAGTTACGCTTAATGAACCCCTTAAGCTCAGCAAAAAAATCCTTAATTGGGTTTAGGTCCGGTGAATATACTGGCAAATAGACCAGCTTCACCCCTGCATCCGCGCACATTTGTTCAAGTCCTTCCGACCGGTGAAATAATGCGTTGTCTATGACTAGGACAGATTTAGGCTCTGGCCATCTCCCGCAATGTTGGAGCAGCTAAGCTATAAAGCCTTCAAATACGGTGGCATCCGTAGAACCACGGAAGACACGCGATAGAACAATCCTATCCTGTGTATATGCGAGTAATATCTGGTATCTCTGATCACGATAGAACTGTATTACTTATAAAGGGGACGTGCCACGTGGTGCCCAGCCTTTACGTCTGAACCTAATACGTTTATCACATCCAGATTCATCAACATAGACTAGGTGGTACGATTTGAAATCTGAGAGATTATACAGATAGTAGTCTCGCAAATCGGCGTTTTGTTCTCTAGCACGTCTCCGCGCAGTCTTTTTAGACCAACCTTTAGCGACAAGGGCTCTTCTGATGCTAGAGGTTGTAACCATTGCCTGAAACTCATCCTATATAAATACAACCATCTCTTCGAGGTATAGGCCGGGTTTCTTATATAGGTGATCGCAGAGAGCTTCGATCATCAGGGGGGTCACAGTTCGTTTTCGTCCTGCTCTGGTTTGTGGTGCGTATAAGCTTCCAAATTGTCTTAAGTTGTTGCGGATACTAATGATGGTCTGCTTGCTGCATTCGGCCTGTTCAGCCATTTCAGACGTGGTAAAAGATTCGCTCTCTATCATATCACGGATGAGAATAATCTTTGAAGGTGAGAGTCTTGGAGCCATGTCGCCTGGACTGATGTCGCCTGGACTAATAACGGTAAGCAGGGAGCTTGTCACTAAAGGAAGAGAGGGGTGAGGAGGTACCGCGTGTCTGTCAGTTTCGTGTAAAATACACCGTCTATGGTATTAAAGATGTATTGTAAAGTACGCGGACTATTGTAGAAAGCGGTCTAGGATAAAGTGCTTCAAATAACATCCAATCAGAACTCGCATATTTGGGATTTATTTTCCGCGAATCAAGTCTAAAGAGTGTGGGGTCAAACTGAATTCGAAAACTACTGTACGAGGCAAAAAGTACCATATTCTGCGAAAGAATGGTCGCACGACTGCGCGAACTTGGAAACTTCCAGGTCACCGTAAACGAGAGCCCCGCCGCCGCTCGAGTGAACAGACGGTCTTACACTCAGACGCTTCAGCCGACGCGACAACCCGGAGCAACATCGATCTGTGGTTTCAGACAATTCTTGCGTCTGAATCTGATTCTGCCGAGAGCAGCGAGACAGCGCTGACAAGAGGCTCGATTTCAGGTATGGGCCCGCTCAGGCTACTTTGACGTGCATGCTAACTTTTCTATCAGATCGTCTGACGCCGGCGCTTACGAATCACCGTCCCAAGAGATTACGATCATCAACATGGATCTGGGAGTATGTACATCGTATGTGCGCCACTGGGAGAATGGACCTCTAAGGTGCGTTGTATGAACATGATGCGAGGCATCACAGGAGAGGGCCCAGAGTTACATAGGGATGTGGAGCCAGTGCAAATGAACGTTTAATTCCCAGATATGATTAGATGAGGCATGCAGCCTTACAGGGGATGTCAGTTGCTCCTATTTTTCAAGATCTCAAATAGTAGACAGGAAATTGGATATGAATAAACAATTCTGAATTTACCATCGTTTTTGGCGCAACTTGTTCAAAACTGGAGGACTGGAGGCCGTGCTTGCTTCCTAGCGGAGGGTGGGTCCGAACGACTTCCCAGCGTGCTTGGTCAAGCTGCGCTCGAAAAAGACAGTGCTGTCATTCTGCGTCTGCAAACGGTCGAGGCGGTCTGTCAAGTTGGTATTGCCTCGATTTTGAGACAATTATGCATTCTGAGCTCAGTTCTATGTCGTGCCAAGACCATTCTCCAGACAGTACCTCGGATTACGTGCATAATGACCATACTCGGGTTGAAAATTCGAACGAAAAATCGGTTCCGTCAAAGCATCCTATTCGTCTTAATAATACAGTATCATGGGTTTGTGGATCTCAAACAGCGTCCCCCCCTGCAGCCCAGGTCTTTTGCTACGGAATATCCGACTGAATCTATGATAGCCTCAAAAATCTCACCCAGCACAGGACTTCCCAAAAAAGTATATAATCGGCTGAAGCCTCTCAATACCACCAAGTCGTTAATCTTTTCCACTGACTACACGTGCGAAGTTCGCAGTCTCCATCATGCATCTTTCTGTGCTCCTCTTCACGCTTTGCCCGCTGGTCTTCGGTGATAGCTTGGAGATCATGGACGTGGGTGGTCTGTGTTATATCTACTCGAACAGCACACGAGGCTGTACAGGATCCTCGGAGGTTATTGCGGTATTAAATGGCACTTCTTGCTCCAGTAAGTACAGCTACATACGGATGAGTAATGGCGCAATTCCACTGACAGCCACCAGATCTCAGCACGATAGGGCGCAACAAGCGCACCGAGACAAACGCAGTCAATGTGACCGTCTGTGGTGCTCAGCGACAAGCTGGTCAGGAGCTTGCTTGGATCACAGCTGACAAGAGCGGCCTTCTGACGTTTCAGAACATCGGAGGAGACACGGCAAACTGTACAATCGGCAAAGAGTTCGAGGTGGGAACTTTCTGCTCTGCTCTCAATGGTAGTTCGATTGAAACAGCCACAGAAAAGCCTACATTGATCTCATCTACCAAGGTTATAGAATTCAGCACTGTTGCGCCCTCGAGCATGAATCTGGTGCCGTCCAAGGCCGTCTCGATGGATTGCTAATCAACCGGAGCGGGAGCCTGTACGATTCGCCTCATCAACTCAATCTCTACTGCCCCCATTGCATTCAGTTCGTTTTGACGTTTGGATTCCAGTTCTAAGGTTTGGTTTCTGGCCCTTTGCGGATTCATTCATGTCTTCTCGCCTGGCTTTGGTCTTGACATATTCCTTTGATGTTGCTGGAGATATTTTAATTTGAAGAACGTCAGTAAAACTTCGAGTTGACTCATAGCCAAAGTGAAGCTAAACGTCGTAATTGCATTGAGAGATCCGATAACGGCATAACTTCCAGCTGCTCTGCGTTCTCTCGGTGCGACTTACTTTTCTAAGCCATCTATGTACGACACAATATAGGAAGAGATTGAAAGGTGCTTCAGACGCTTAGGTGTAGATTCCAATGGAGCTGTAAGCCGTAGGAAAGCCAGCGTCAACAAAAATGAACATATCACGTCACAGACGGTCACAATTGTACACAATGGCACTTCTGGGATTCGAGGAAACCAACCTAATTTGGGGTCAGTCTATGATTTAGACCATCATTGTATTTGCTTGGGTATAAATCGGAGAGTCTCCAGCTTCTGCGTACTCCAGCTTTTGCGTACAGTCTGCCACGCGGCCGGGATCAGCTTAGCCGTGCATTCTCGGGACGTAACTCCTGACTGCCCTGCTGAAAGTGTGATAGCACTGGTATTGGCTGCAAAATAGCATGATAGAGGTTTCGCAACAATAGCCACTTTATCCGTGACGAACTTGTTGCGTAACGTTCTCCCAAAAGGCGGTGGGCCTTCTCCGCCGAGTGCTTCGGGGTTAAGCCAGGAATCCCAGTCAACGGCATCTTCTTTCGAGAACTCCGGACCATCGGGTTGGCATATCCTTTCACTTTGATGGAACCTTTGGGGCGATTTCGGCTGTCTGTACAGGACAAGAAAGATTGGGATAAAAATAGCTGCAGGACATTTCATCAGTAAAGTTGGCATGTTCTTTCCACTGACAGACTTACTTGGCAGCTCGCTTCGTTCCATTCTGAGCACAACCAGCAAATCTAAGTCAAAGAGAGTTTTGTGTCAGAAGCAAATGAATTCGACCGGGATTCTTTTTAATGCTTTTATGAAAGATAAAGGGGGAAGCTGGGAATACCAGGAGAAGTCTTCATCGGTACCTGAGGACAGAACAAGACCACGAATTTATGGTCAACTTATCAAGACCTGTAAACAATATTGTAGTCAGATACGCTCAATGACTTACTTGTGCGATCAAAATTATTGATAGGAGCATCATCTGTTGGAATGCAAAGAGAGAGTTTGATGAGAACAAGTGAAAATATGGCAAGGGTGTGTCACGTCGAATCCGGGCTTGGATATTGTAGAAACTCGACTTTGCGGTTATCAAATTGCGAATTCTTTCCACTCCAATCGAGATGCTTCTCACCAAGGCCCAAGCTAGGGGGCCTCGCCAGCGACCAGTGTGATTGGTAACATGTCCCAGATTTGCTTTCAGCTTCAAAAGCTCATCTGATATTTCCATTTTGCTACCACTGATCATCAATGTAAGACAACTAGTGCTCTCAAAAAGAATGCGTGGGGATGAGACCAATGATCATATTATTACTATGAGTACCATGTTAAATGTAGCGTCTCACCTAGCACTAAAAATCGGGGTATGTAGCCCTAGACAGATCTCGCATCAACGCCTCTGCCTCTTCAGTCGACTGTGCCTGCGCAGCAAGTGAACAACTTTCGAATGTCCCCCATGCTCTGCCCACCAAAGCGCTGTCCGTCCTCGGTCATCATTCAGGCTGATGTCCATATCAGGATGTTTCAGCAACGATTTGGTCACTGCCAAATACCCATTGGATGCGGCAAAGAAAATGGCTGTCCATTGTTGAGGACCACGGGTATTGATCTCGACCCTGTCTCCTTGTCGGAGAAGCAGAGATACAATGGATAGATGATTCAGAATGATAGCTACTTGGAGCGGAGTAGTTCCAGTGGGGCTTTTCTGATTGAACTCGAGTGACCTGCAACGAAGGAGTATTTTTGCCGCCTGAAAGTTGCCTACGCGACAAGCAGACCAAAGCGGAGGCACAATTTGCCTAGTCTGCGAGTTGATGCATATTTCCGGCTGTTGCAGTAATAGTTTTAAAACTTGCAAGACAGGCATCTCAGCAGCTCGGGCTAATGGCGTCACCCCATATCTATCAGCATCATTCAATCTCACATGCCTGTGGCTAACAAGTAATTTCACAAGATCATGGTGTCCATGATCTACAGCGTGCCACAATGCTGTTCGCCCGTCGGAGTCAGATATGTTCACATCAAGGTCGGGATGTAGGAAAAGAGACTCCACGATGCGAACTGATTGCTGTTGATTGAGCATTTTCGCAGACAAGAGGAGAGGTGCATCATCGTAGGAGCTCTGGTGATTGATATTGATTCCTGCCTGTCGTACCAGCATCTGCGTGGCGATATGATCCCCTTCCAGGGTCGCAGATTGCAGGGGCGTCCGATCGAAATGATCTGCAAAGTTGACATTCGCTCGGGGGTCAGCAAGCAAGAGATGCAAAATATAGTGCTCGCGATGCTTCAGCGCGTATGCTATGGCAGAGAACCCGTCCAAGCATCGATCATTGACATCAATCTCCTGTGATTGAAGAATCCGCTCAACGATAGCAGTATTTCCGCCGATAACTGCAAGTGACAAAGGGCCTCGGCCTCCAGAATCGCAAGAACAGCGAACATTGGGCTTATATCGCAGGACCAGATCCACGGCCTGTGGGTATCGTAGCTCAATAGCTAGGAGGAGCGCGTTCTGCCCTGCGTACTCAGCGTCGATATTCACGTGGTATTCCTCGATCTATCGCGCTCCAATGTCTAGTTTTTGGGCTTTCACGGCACGAAAGAGTGGCGGAATTTCATTAGAGACAAGGCACACAAAAAGCGCCTCAGTGAAAATAGAATTGGTTCGACGACTGACCAGGCATAGACTCAGAATGTGGTCTGTTTGGAGGGATTTGCAAATCCAGAGCAAGAGCTCTTTTGGAAGTTCGCAAATCATGAGAGTGTACTTTTGCCGTGTTGGGTTGATTTAGGGGATCAGTATCAGCTGATGGCGAAATTGACTATCCGAGGTCTCACAGCGCCGTGTGTGCTCTTCCTTTTATGCACTCAAACTCTAGAACACTATTCAATTTGAGGTTCGAGGATCAGGTTCTCCACTCGGGCCAGAAGTCTGCACGTGAATCCAAAGTGCCTCTGCCAGGGATACCCTACTTCATTCCCTGAAAGCGAAGGTCTGGCCCTAGGATCAAACACAACGGCTCCAGGACATGGCTCAAGAGCCCCAAGAGCAGGCTAGCTCCCAGGGCCAGTGATTGCATTCCCAGTTTCGGTTCAGTCATTCGCGGGATCAGTGATTGAAATCCCAGGACCGGTGTTTTCACTGCGTGCTTGAGCCAGGAGTCTGCACGTGAAGCCAGAATGCCAGCCCCGAGAATACCCGCCTTGGGTCCCCGGAAGCACAACCCTGGCCCGGGATCTTGAGTGGGTATCCTAGGAGCGTTACAGCTCCCAGGACTGATCAAGATGATCCTAAAATCGACCGTGTGGGATATGGGAGTCGGCTTCATGAGTCTGGAACTAGCTTGTGAATTCATCAACGCAAATTGCCACATGGCCGCAGTAATCACAAACATGAATGTCTGCTCTCATTCCTGGCCTACGCCTTGTATGAAAATTCATTTGTAGCGCGAATGATGGGCTATGCAGAGATTGGCGCTGGGTTCAGGGGATCACTCAACCAAGAATTATTTTGAAGATTCAGTCAAGGGTATATGCGTTTTTCCAAGGTGGTGAATAAAGTTATTTCTACAGTACTAGGAAAGAACAGATCTAGCGTTGCCGGTATTTCTCCTTGCTAGGTTTGTAAGATCTCCGGCTCATCTACATACATAATAAAATCATACATACTGATCATTATGCCAAGCCGAGTGAAGGTGTCTTCCTCGCAAGGTCAATTGACTCCAATTGGTGAGGGAAGTTGTCTTGCTGTTCTCAAAGTTGTTGACAATTTCAACCACCGACGTGATTGTTATTTGTTCATTCAATGAGCAGTAAGTACCACTAGCGAGGAGAGTAAATCAGTGCATCAAAGTGGAGCGTCTCTCAGCTCAAGGTTTGGTAGATGTATTTGGCGTAGTATGTCTCGCGAATATACCAATTTATCTCACTTAATATTATCAACAGTAAGAGAAGTACACAATCAGCCACGTAGCCATAGATAACCATGGTATTATTCCTGTCGGAAAAGACGTTCTACTGGGTATAGCGAGGCTCAAACATGACCATGGCGACAGTAGTGGATCTCAAAGTAGGCTGTAGACAAGATCACCAGGAAGGCTGTCGATCTTGATAGAGGCTCTCGATACATCAGCTACCGCTGTGACCTTTTGAGACAGGATCGTTCATCGTTCACCCAACCTCTTCAAACTTTTGTACGGTATTCGGATTAGAATTGGACACCATAACACGCCAGACCCCGGACAGTAGGTCCCAGAGATCGCTTTAGAAAATCTATGAACCTTCACACAATATTAGGACTCTATTAGACATGTCCATTACTATCCAGTGCATCAATCCCTCATCCTGTTGAATACCATAGCGAGGCAGCCCCGACACCGGAGCCAAACTCATGTCATCCACACAATGACTCAACATTTACTGTACCAGTCGTCGGTAACACCTACTGATCAACTGTGAATACAAACGACGGGTACTGCCCAGTGAAGCCTTTTTGTGCCACGTGGCGAAAATACCGACCTCCCGTATCGAGTGAGTAATGACGGGACGGGCCGCGATGCGAACCCCTGATCCGCCCGACCGCGATGAACGCGAGGATACGCCACCGCGATCGTCGAGACCGAAGCGCACCACCAAACCACCGAAAAACTATGCTCGAGAGCAAGAGATCGACAACGAGCAGAGGAAGACGCGACCGCTACCAAAGAAGAGAATCGAACCCGAAGACCAGCCTGACGTGGCAACTTCGGACGACTCTGCGACCGAGAGCGACGACCTCGATGTCAGCAATTTGGTGCAAGAGATCGCCAAACTCAGGAGGGAGATCAGACTCCGCAATGAGATACATATGGAAGAACTACTAAAAGCCCAAGCAGAGTTTGGTGCCGCTCTCGCCCAGGTCCGACACGAGCTACAGAACCTGACTGATAGACCCTTGACACCGCAATGCCACTCCGAGGCATGCTCTCAGAACAACCATGATGCGATTCTCCGCGAGATTCAATCCTGACGCAAAGAAATTAGCGTCCCCGCTCCCACGAGTTCCCCATCCTATGCAGATGTCGCGCGCACTCCTCCAACCAGTTACCCGACACTAGGAAAGATACTCGAATCAATGGTTGATATCGACCAACATAACCCCCACCCCTTCTTCCGACCCTACTTACCCACCACCTCGTGCTACACATGGTAGACGCGCTTCAACTGCCGAAGATAGGATGTTGAACACTTGGAGAAGCGCCTTCAAGCCAGCCTACTAACCCACTTACTAACCCACGAGAAACTCGCTGCGATACTGCTTTCTGGAAATGTTATATGTTCTAAGGTTTTATGTATGGGCTTTCAGGAGACACAGCATACACAGATGGACATGTACAGTAGATTAGTGATAGTTGCCCTTTCGGCTCAGCCGCCGGGCGTTAATGAATTGATTGTTTGTATGCTCAGTGAGACAAACAGCACGACACTAAGCCCACCTCCCAGAACAATGGCTACGTAGGCCAATTTGACGTTATGGTTGTTTGCCATCTCCCTGTAACTCATTATATGGCGTTTTATCAGCCGGCGGTTGAGTGCTTGTCCAATTTCATTATCGCATTCCTCAAACACAGACTCTGCATAGTTAGCTTTGAAGTAGGCGAAAAATTGATTACCAGGAGGGGAGCTGTCCGCGAAAAGGCGACGTAAACAATGCAACGGGGCATCGGGGAACGAAAAAGGATTATAAT